CAACTCACACACACGCACACATCCACAGCAGGAATATTGAGCGGCCTCTCACATAAATTACGAGCCTTATCACACGCAGTGACGACATCTTATATGCACAATATTCAAACCGCCACTGGTGTATGAATATTTTGTGTGCACGGAAATTTGCGGTTGCTTTGCTTGACCTTCATCACGATGCAAAATTACGAAGATACTAAATCTCAAATTGGAATGCATCGATTCAATTTCTCGTATTTGGTTTAAATAGATTTGCATTATTATTGGCGTTTGAAATGCCACAATTGATTAGTTGAACCATAAATAAATCTTAAGCTCATTAGCGTCGATAAGAGATGGAAAATATGCTATTCAATTTAAATAAGTCTCTGCACCTGTTATTTTCCATCAATGCAAATGACTAATGAAATTCTGAGGCCCGAGGCAATGTTTGTGTGGAACGATTTCAATACTGATTTAAAATGCGAATACTTGCTTGGTAAATCGAAATTGAATTGAACATCAAAACTCACTTAATTTAGATGAAACGGCTAAAAATATTTGTTTTCGATTTCAATTTGTTGAAATTTCATTTTGTCATACGTTCATTCGTTTTAATCAATTTTTACACAACAAAAAACAACAACAACAAAACAAAAGAAAATTTTGTTGCATTGTAAACGTGAGAATGTAGTAAAAACATTGTCGAAGGACATTAATGAAAATGCCCAGAGATTAAAATCGGTCATAAAATTCGTGAAAGATCACGAACGGAACGAGATTAACGAAATGGAAATAGATAATAATCAGTGTGTCATTCACATAAAAATCAAATGAGAAATTCTATTCACAGAACAATAGAGCTCAAATCCAATTCATCTTCCGATGCGGAGGCGGTGCCGGGATAACGGAATGAAGCAATCACATACCACTCGTTATATGCACAACATTCATTGCCAATGAAAAAACTTTATTGAGCGTGTTTTCACTCTCGCTCTTTATCCAGAAGTTCAATATAAGAAAACTTTAATCCGAATACGGTATTTTGGCACTTTCGTACGCGATTAATGATTATTTCGACTTTTGTGCGCTATATTTAGTGTTGCTTCGACCCAGATTCCGGCATACAGCTGAGAAGGGAGTGAATTCGAGATGAAAAAAAAAGAACTTGGTTGGAAAACCGATTTTGGGGGGAAATTAGAAAAAAAATCAATAGTACCGAGCGCGATGAGATAGTGCAATGAATGTTGTTTGAATTTTTGCTGAAGTGACAATTATGCTGATAGAGAGAGAGAGAGAGAGAGAGAGAGAGAGAGAGCCGAAGTGCAGAAATCATGACCTCATTGAGGCGAAAATGGATGGGCTATTTAATCGACACAACGTTTTTTGGACTGTTTCAATGCTCCTTCTCTCTTTCTCTCTCACACACACACACTCTTTCTCTCTTTTGTCCACTTATTTTTAATTTACTTTCAATGTTCGATTTTCAATGAATTCCCACTTGTTATTTTTTACATGAAATATTCTCGAGTTGATGACGTTTTCGCTCCTTAGCGTGAAATTGAGTGATAAAAAGGGCGAAAGAGAAAAAGGGAGAAAAAGAACAGTGGCATTGATGCCGAGATAAATGCAGTTGTTCCTTATTCATTAAAAATAGTTCCAAAGTGGTTGGCGCTCAGCTCGCTACCAATTATTCTTTGACCAAACACACACACACACACACACACACAGCTTTGGTCACGTTCAATAGATCGAGATATTTAGAATGATATTTCGGTAATTTGATATCGCAGCGCCTTTAAATGGTCGACAAAACGTGCTTGCCAATTGCTTGGTTGCTTCGCTACCCACAAATACCGCAGTTGCTCTATGATAATCACACACAGAAAATTGCCAGAGTCTGAGCTCGGAGCCGTTTTTCTCTCTCTACACATACCGCGAAAGAGAGAGAGAAATAGAAATAGTACACAGAAAATAGTAAAAGCTTTAACGCTCTTTTAAAATGATATGCGATGAATCACCCTAATGTAGTCCATTATTTAAGCATTTTGCATTGGGAAACTAGCCATGCCAACCAGCAGCCCATTCTTTGCACATTCGATGCACTGAGCACGAACTATGGACATGATTTTTGAATGGTTTTCTCAATCGTTACTCTCAATCTCTTTCTCTCTCTCACTCACTCACTCACTCGAGCTCGGATTATTCGATCGTTCTGTGGCGCGTTTCAATTGAATTTTTTTTGTCATACTTGTGAATTTCCGATTTCGTCGCACTTTTTGTTGGCGTCCATGAATGTGAGAATATTTATCGTCTGTTACACTTGAAAAAACCATTTCGTAAAGTGGCATTTCATTGGTTTCACTGAATTTTTTTTTCTTTTTCTAAATGTATCTGAGCCATTTTTTTGCTCTCTCAGTGTTAGCCTTTTGCTGTTAAGTGTTGTCTTTTTTCTTTATTCTCTTCAAAAAAAAATTTGTTGGCTATTCGAGTGGCCGTAAATAATTTGAACAATTTTCTTCCTTGTCCAGTGCATATATTAAGGAATTGTTGTTTTTCTTTCGCCGGCAAACCAAAAGGAAGGTCCTTTTGAACTGAAACGTCTGCCATGCTTTACTGTGTATATCTGCGTTGGATTCTCAATGTAAAACTTTTCAGTTTTTGCGAATGCACTTGGGATGAGCGAATTTTCACCTTTTTTTATCGCGTCGCATTCGAATTAGGTGCTTATGAAATCATGGGGAAAGTATAATTCCTTTTTTTCCCGTTGCTAGTTGTTTTTTTTCTCGTCTTCTTCGGCATTTGATCGCATTGAGGGAAAAAGGTGTGTTCAGCGAAAATGAAAAATGGACTTATTCATAAGTTGCTTTTGTTAAAAGTTAAATTTTATTTGCTGTTGTGTTCGTTGGTGTTTTTTCTCTCCCTCATTTCACTCACCGCATAAATGGAGTGATTGTCAACACCCTGGCGAATGCGGAGAAAAAAACGAAATGAAAAACATACGAATGAATGGATGTAAATGAAACTCTAAGAAAAATTGCAGTCACTCAAAGTCCGTGGTGTTTCTCCCGCCAAACGAAAGAGGGAGGGAGAGAGAGAAAGTCAGAGGTCTTTGATTAAATATGAAGGTTTCTCTTGTTCTAGAGTTTTGCATTTTTTTTCAGTGATTTATATCAGTCGGATGAATTATTCATGGTATGGCGCCTGAATACTGAGCACAAAATGAACGAAAACAAGGAAAATAAAAATGGGCATTGGCAAATATTGCGGCATTTTTGATAGCAACGACTCATTCGTTGAAAATGTGTTTTTTTCTCGCGGAATCTGACAGTCACAAAGCTATTCACAAGGCTTTGTGGTGAACAAATTTCAATAATTTTTCCTGCGAAATGATTAAATCTCTATCAAACAAATGTGCAAAAAAGCCGACGAGAAGAAAGCAGAAGAGAAATTGCAAGTCCATTGGAACAAAAAACGTGCGCACAAAGAATAGTCTTTCATTTCAACACTCATCTTTTCTGAAGAACAAGCAGCAGCAGCGCTTGTCACAAGAACAACAAAAAATACGATGTTTGCACGACAAAGGAGGAATGAAATTGAATTTCATTTCGCCGCATTATGTACTCATTTGGGTGCTCCATCATTATGAATATCAATAGAGAGAGAAAACGGTATCAATTTGTACAAACAAATGAGCAAACAGGATCAAACTTGTTGTGAGGACGGGGTAACAGAAACCGAAGAGATAAGTGCATACACTGTGATGCACAATGCACAAAAATGATTTCGAAATACCAACCAACCAACCGACCGACCGACGAATGAATGGAATTCATAATATTTTACAGTATTTCAACTCATTCCGTTTGTATGCTATACATTTTCCACGTCTCAAGTGACGTTTCTTTTTCAATGGCAATGCGTTTTGTCATAAAATATTTGTATCATTCAATTTGATTCATTTGTTCACGTTGGCAAATAAATCAAACGCCACAAAGTTCCATTGTTTTATATTCCGAAAAAATTCAATTATATTGCGAATGGCTTGACGACGACGATGATGATGATGAAGACTATGTCACGATGTCATATGCTAATATCACACTAATTGCGTTTCAGATCCATGCTGATCCCAAATCCAAAATTGAGCGGTTCAATGTTTCAACTCAAATCAACACCACTCCAATGCATTGGATTTCATCACCCAATTTGTTCACCCAATTTGTTCACCCAATTAAGATGATCCATTAAAATAATTGATTTTAAAATACTCTTTTTCACACTGATTAATTGAACCCTTGCGGCTAGAAACTTTGACTAATTGATTTTTTTTTTTTAGCGAGATAATTGATTTTTCTGTTGCGACAAAGCTTCCTGTTGGCCAGTCTACTTCAACCGTAAAACTATACCCACACTAAAGCGCCACAAGTGAGCAATAATTGAGCATTTAATTGAATTGGCAAACGATTTAACATAATTCTCAGAATATATTGAATGAAAATCACAAGCGCCACCCTCTAACGTCTGAGAGTGATTTGAAAGATAGCGAAAATGGTCTGCGAGTAACGGAGATTCGTTGAAGAGTATGAAAAATGAGTATGAAGTACATTCGAGCATTTCAAGTGTAAAAAAAAAAATGGGATGCAAGTGACGTGTACAATATTTGCACTCGGATTGATGAGTTCACACTGAGCTTTCTGTCATGAAATTTCATTACTCTCTCCGGCGAGTGTTCATGATGGCGAAAAAGCGGCCGTCGGTTTTCCATGTTACACGAACAGAGTGAAAGAGAGTGACATGCGGTTTTAATTAAATTTCACTATCGAATCCATCGAGTGTTTTCTTTTCAGCAGTTTAATTTTTTGCTGTTGTTGTTGTAAGCCATAGGCACTGGAAGTGTCTGACTGAACGCGTTGCAGAGTGGACAAAAAAAATAACGAGCATTAATCTAGTCAAATTATAATTAAAAGCAATGATTTTTTTTTTCGCTCTGAAGCTTATTTTAATTAGAGAGAACTTACTTGATTGCCAAATACGCCAATACTGCAGGCAGATGATACTTGATCTGGTCCGAACCATACCGCAGCGACCCGTGCAGGTAGCGATAGAATAAATACCTGAATTGATTACGGATGTAAACAAAGAGAACAGATTATGAGTTTAACGGTCGAAATTTATTGTAAAATGGAAAAAAGCAAAAAAAAAGAGAAGAAAATTGAGGGAAAATATCGAAAATATTTGGAAAATCACAATTCCAACGTGTGATTGCTAGTGAATAATGCACACTGATGATGCACATTAACATCAATTAAATCCGATGAAAAAAGGATTAAAAATGCTTTAAGGCTTATATGCAGACCAATAAATCAATTTAAATCCAACACATGTATCTTGTGACCACGTAATAAAATTGGAAATAACAACGGTGGTTGGATAGTGGTTCGGAAAGAATAAATTGGAATTGAAATATCTGCGAAAAGTGTGAAAATCCATTAATTTCAATTGATTTATTTTCAATGCAATTCGCAATTCATGCCTATTTCGATGTGATCTGTAATTTATTTTTTTAAATATTAAAGTCAAAGAAAAATTGATGTGACATTTATTGTGCGTCATTCCATTATAGAGCCTCTATTGTTTCTGTGATTTTTCAATTTATACTCTAAACGCTTGACTTCAACCAAAAAAAAAATTAGGATAAAATCATTTCCATGGCCTTACCTGTGATGCTGCTACAACAGTTTGACCGATAAAACCAACGTAGAATAGATCTGGACCGACGGAAAATACCTTAATCCATGCGCCAATGCAAGTACCAAACGCACCACACAATGCTGTTACTCGTAAACCCTAATCAAATTGTGAGACATTCAAAGAGAATATATATGTAATATGTATATAGGGAATCAACTGTCAAAAGGCTTGAACATATTTGGTTTTGGTTTTATGAGAAATGTATGTTATTAGTCAAAGTGAATGAATTTATTAAATGATGTGACATTTGGTGCTTTGGCTGAATTCACTGTGAGAACAACGCCGATGACGACAATGACGGGAAAAAAAACTCCGAAGAAATAATCGTTTGTGTGCAAATGTTCATACGATTCAATTTATTAGTATGTTAACGGTGAAAAAATAGCCAAAAATTCGTTTTAATTGCATCTCATTTGGATGGAACATTACAAATGTGATAGACAAATAAATTATTTCGAATTGTTGGCCATCAATATCGAATTGTGACTAGTTTTGTTTGTTCAAAAGTTCATTTAATGGACAATAATAAGGAAGTTCGGCGAACACAGAGAGAAAAAAATTCAACAAGTTTTTTTCCAGCAAAATTTCGTTAATTTCATCGATCGGGCCCGAATGACGTACAAGGACAAAGTACAAAGTACAATCAAATCACACTCGCTCATCTGCTTCGGTTATTGAGCCTAAGAATAATGTGACATAATCTGGTGCAAAATTGAGCTCATCTTAAATGATAGCTCAATTTACAATTGTCGCTATTAGTCATTTAAGTAAAACATCATTTGTTCAATAGAAACGGCCAAATGATCATAGCTTATTATGGTACCGGTGTCATAAAATGATACTGATAGCAATTTCATATTTATTTAATGTTTACAACCATTTTCAAAGTGATCACCGAAAATCATCAAAACATTGTGGATATAAACTTGAACACGCGACCACACGCATGCGAATCAAAGAACAATGTATCGAATTAAGTGTAGCACACATCGTTTGACATGGCTGAATAATGCATTTTGAGCACTACCCTCAACATTTCATGACGTCTTTACTACGGGCCATTTACATACTACTACCGCTCTCTCTCTCTCTCGCTCGCTTCCTCCATTTCTGAGACGAAATGAATATTCGCATGCCATTGTGAGCACATAATTAAATTTATTTTCATAAATAAAATGCGGATATTGTGGATTTGTGTGTGTGTGTGTCGCACATGTGGCACGTCCGTATAATAATGACAATAATTTTCAACGCAGCATCATGGACACAAAATTGCTCATTGTTACGATGTCATTTATCCTCATTCTAAGCCAGTGCCACAAATTCCAAGTCCACAGCCATCTCAAAAACAATATACAAAATAATAAGATTATTGTTGTCTCTCACTCAAAAATGATGCATCATGTGATGCCATATGTGTATGTGTATATGTATGTTTGCATAGCACACGCACTTACCATTTTATCCAAAAACCAGCTGGCGGGGAAAATTAACGGAATGTAGATTATCATGAATATCATTGACGTCCAATTGATCCAATTGTCCGACACATTGTAGTACCTAATGTGAGAAATGGAAAATAACCACATATATATATATATATATATGTATATATGTACAACATGTTGGTAATATTCCTTTTGACAACAATATACAACGAAATGCTTTTTGGGATGTATGTAATTTAATTTTTGCAACACCAACAACAGCACTCGGCCTAAGGGAGGCATCTGTAATCCAAAACGTTTCACAACATTTGCAGAGCATATATGAACCTATATTTTCACATGTATGTTTTACTGTCACTTGCATTGTGTCACATGTATCACAATTTAGACACTGATCCATATTTTATCACAGATTAAATCGACTAAACGATTTCTATACATACACAAAACATTGCTACTGAATGTCATCGTAAACCGGGATAAACCATATATTTAATGGTGTTGATATCTACTTTTGCGATGAATTCTACCGCATTTGTGTATGTCAGTACCATTAAATGTATTGTTTATCCCGATTTGTAACGTTTTGACATTAGTTTGTTTTCTATGTGTGGAGGATGATTTGCATGTGCAAAAATACGAACAATGGACAGTGAATGCACGCACACGCAATTACACCAAGTTCATTGAATCTGTACCTTTCAAAAGGTAAGAAAAAAAAACAAGGTGTATTATATGCAAAATGTTATCATTTGGATGGATGACAGTCCGTGAAATTGCTTATATCTACCGAAGGCTGTTCCTTCTTTCTTGTTCAAACGATAAAAAAACGCTAAACACACAAAAGTCAAACTTTATCATTTTGACTTCGAGGGAGAACAACGCAACAAACCATTTATCCATTAATCTAACTCGGAACAATTGAACTCGTGAGCATAAAAACGAATTACAAAAAAATCACCGATCAAAACGTAACATAGATTTGTCGGCGTAACATACCAGTTGTACAATTTGTTCCGAATTGAACGAGTAACGTATAGGTGTTTCGCTTTGTTCGGCGAAGTTTTTATAAGTCGTTTTTATGCGCACGGGTTTAATTCAACGTTTTTTTCTCTTTTGAAATGAAGAAAATGTGTGACGGAAAGTGAATCCTTTATGTAAAAAAGTTCGAATGCTTCGAAAATGTGATCAAAATTTTCAATGAAGCAGGAAATTGATTTTATTCGCTCAATTTTTTCTTTCGGATTATTTTGCTCAAATACCAATGGTCCATAATATTTATTATCCATGCCAACAACAAAGCAAAAAAAAAACACTCTATGCAAATTACGTTTTTAGCACTACATGAAATGTAGAGCTACAAATCAGATTTTTTTCCTAGATAATATTTGAGTGTTGAAACAAATTATGGCGAATTTGAATTTTATGCTCATATTTTTTATTTAATTTAAACCAAAGGCAGTTTATTTCAAAAAAGAAATTAAACCAAGATCTTGTTATTCATTTTGCCAATGTATCCAAAACGCATGAATACGGCATCGCATAAGGCAGTTATCGCATAAATATCGCGCGATAATTTTCTGCTTGCGTTGCCGCAGTATACGATATTTCAATGGCTCGCTTGCGTTCGCTTCGTTATATGTGTAAAGCAATTCGAACGTGCGTCGTAAGACGGCTATTGAAATATCATATACTGCGGCAACGCAAGCAGAAAATTATCGCGCGATATTTATGCGATAACTGCCTTATGCGATGTCGTATTTTTGTGTTTTGGACACATTGCATTTTGCAAATAAATATATTACTTCAAAGTTACTTTGATGAAATACATTTCATGTAGTGCGCCAAAAAATAGTTTGTTGTGAAACAACAAAATAGATTAAGTAACTAAAAACTCAAGAACACGAAGCGAAGCGAAGCTCTGCGGTCTTGTTTTTCCTTCTTCTGTCCACTTACCTTTCGACAACATTTGCAATGATGGAATATTGGATCCACTGGAGTGCGTTTGATGCCGAGTACAGTGTAAAGATTGCTAAAACTATCCATCGTCTTGTGTACACCTGAAATTCGCCTGTATTGAAAACGACGACGATGATGACGACGACCACACAAATCAAAGCCCAGGCACGTCCGAGTCCCGAATCAAACAAACGAGCACCAGCACGATACACGGCATACCGGAAGGAAAATGGAATGCAAAATTTAACGTTTGAATGCTTTAGTTTATGGATGAGCAATTTTTTTGTATCGTATCGCATATCGATCGAGTTTACAATTGAATGACACAACACTTTTCGACACACACACAGAGAGAGAGAGAGAGACACTACACACCGTCAACAAAAATCTCAACCCAACACACCGAATCAAAGCTCAGCCCAATGTGTGTAGCACACAAACACAAATTTGATTATGTTCATTTGCATACGAAACAGAGGAGGAAAAAGAAATAACGGCAATCAAATTGATTGAGAAATTTTTGGTGGAATTGTAATTTTCGTCGCGGTTCTAATTCATTAAGTGAACTGAATAATTATCGAATAAAACGGCTTTGTTCATTGCCATATACAGCATTGTTTGACTTCTTCAATATAAATCCAGATAGTTGGATAGAGATAGAGAGAGAGAGAGAGAGGGAGTATGGAAGTGAGAGCTGTGTATTTGTTTGAGGCTCGTAGTTGGCTTCAAGAAAATCGTAACCGTATTAAGGCTGCATAAAACAAAATGCTCATGTACACGAACGATTGAACATTGTTTTCTGGCATTCGAGCTAAAATAATGGAATAACTGTGTGCTCTGGATAATTTCAATGGGCAAAAAAACATCTTTTCTGTTTACTCTCTTTCACATGCGACTCTTTCTCTCTCTCTCTCTCTTTCTCTATCTCTCTCTCTATCTCTCTCTCACTCTCTCTCTCTCTCTCTCTCTCTCTCTCTCTCTCTCTCTCTCTCTATCTCCGTGGTGTGTGGAATGCTTTTGGTTAATAGTAAAATTTGCATGACAACATACAGAAGCTTCAATAATATGGATCTTACCTTGATTTTGTGCTTCTAAATTGTTACTGGAATCTTTTGGCTTGATGAAATCCGTTGACTTGCTGCCTGGTATATAGCTTTCCGATGTAACTGTTGTCAAGTCAGTGGAATGTGTCAGATCCATTTCAATGGCTTATCGTAATCGCAGTTTTATGTTTTGCGAATTTTTTCTCCCTCTGTCTTTTTCTCTGCTATTACTTCTAGTTTGATGGATTGATCCGCACTACTTTGGAAGTGATATCGGCTTGTACGCCTTTTTGAAGCGCTTTCACAAAACTTGATTTATTTCCAGCTTTACCGTCAATACTTTGGCAATGAATGGAAGAATCGTAATGGGTTTTTAAAAATAGGGTGGTTTCTTTTCATCCACCAGTAATGATCTGTGTTGTTGTTGTTGTTTTTTTTTTGTCTGCTGGCTTACAGCAACAAATGGCATCAAGCTGTAGCACACTATTGACGGTTGTAAATCGATAATAAATGTTCTGTGGTTTTGTATATTAATTATTATTGTCTCATGATGTTTAGATCATCATCATTGGTAATCTTTGGCATCTGGTTTTTCCTTTTGGTGTGAATCCAAAACGCGTGCGGTTTGGTTTCCTATAAGCGTAACATCGATTGTTTTGTGTATGTGTGTGTGTGAGCAAAATGCTGCTGCTGCTGCTGCTGCTACTGGAGTATCTGGTTATATAAATCAGCCCAATAAATTCTTCACTGTCTGCAAAACGAAGAAAAGGGAAAAGATACTTTTAAGACTAAATTATAAATTCATTTCGTTTAATGGGCTTTCATTTTATGTATTGGTTGTGGTGGTTTTAGTAAATACACTAAAAAAGCAGCCCTCGCATAAATTTTGCATTACAGAGATGCATGATTAATAGGAGTGATTTTTTATCAATTTTCTCTCAGATTGGGAAAATTATCGGCTCCGCCAACCCAAAGGAATAACTCAACGGTACTTTCACTTCAGTGAAGACCCATGTTGAGTTATAATTACAATGTAAAAATTGGTTATTTTCAAGAAATTCCAGCCTTCAGGCAACATTCATTGAGAAAATTAAACGAAAATGGCATCTCAAAAGCCCACTTTGGCGAAAAGTTATGAGGCCTATGAATTCAATTCAAAAATTTCCTTGTGAATGTAATACGTTTAAATGTTAGAATATAATACGAGATGTAATGCAATGTAAAGCGGATTCCACTTTATTCATCGTATTTTCTACCTATGATCGGAGAGAATAGCTTGGGTGATACGCTTTCGTTCGTTCAAATTTCGTTCGTTATACTTTTTTTTTATATTTTGGGAATTTATACAGAAATGATGACGGCAATTTAGCGAAATGATGAGAAAGTGCTCATTCCTTTTTCCTTCTATATTAATTTTAAGTAATGTTAAATTACGTTCACTTGCCACAGCATCATTTGAATGGTTTGGAGCGAAAATGTAATACAGAAAAGTTGAGCGGAAAAATGTCGATGATGAATGAGCGGAAAAGGGATAGCTATATAGTAAACTATAGTGAACTATATAGCTATCCCTTTTCATTTGACATTTTTCCGCTCAACTTTTCTGTATTACATTTTCGCTCCAAACCATTCATTTGTAATCCATGTGAAGGCATTGAATAATTAAATGCATGGCGGTAAACCAATGAACACCGAATTCGGAATACATGAACAAGCCACTGTGTGTAACTGCATGTGACTTCTTCTAGATTATGCGAAAATGAATCAAGTCAAATGAATGCTTAGTCTTGAAGTATTACCAAGTTTTTGCAAGCCTGTCAGCGTGCTGCTTTTTCATCCTTTCAAAAGTTTAAATTGAAAAAAAAAGTTGTGGCATTTATGTTATAGTGAAACGACTATTACATGGGATTAAGACAGATTTAACGACAAAAGCGAACAAAATGTATTACAACAGCCATTAAATCGAACAGTTTTGTTCCGCTCATTCGTTCACGAAGTGTCGGAACTTTCCTGATGGCCATTTGAAGTACAAGTTAAAGATATTTAAATTTGAGCGTCGAATGAATTAAATTGAAACGCAATTATGAACCCGTACAAAAAGCAGGAAATTAGTTTCGGACGTCATGAAACATAATTTCATAAGATTTCACTTGGGAAAATTTCTAAAATTTTTTTATATATTTTTCTCTCGATTCAAAAGCTCACATTGGAAATTTAAAAACTTTAGAACCAAACTAATATGACTTTCTTTGCAGAACATAAATCCAAGTCTCAGAACATGTTAAAGCATTGAGTAAAAAAAACAACAAAAAAATATGTGACAACTGTCTTTTATACTCGAGAGAAGAGTGGAGTCTCTTTTTACAGAGAGAAACCCATAAGCACACTTACGACGACAAATCAATTCCGAATTTCATTCATTTGGAGCGGGTAATGGTGTCTTCGGTCGCGTCACAGTGGCGAAGTGTATTCGGCCTATGCAATCAAGTACGTGTGTCAATGTAAATCTTATCAAGATCAGGCTAAGTTTTAGCACCATGTGTACCAAATGTCTATAGATTTTATGTGAAGAAATGATATCAATCAGTGCGCGATGCCTGAGGGAGTACTCCAATAATTTGATGTGCACTACGTCTCTCATTAAGAGTCAACAACGAGTCAAGTGAAGTTTGTTGTATGGTACACTTTCCACATCGTATAACTTAGCTTTATGTAGATTAGCACATGATTTTTTTTCGGTTTGTCAACAAGAACAAAAAAACACATACCACCAACACCATCACCATCACCACCACCCTGAAATCCGAGTTCCTTTTTCCAGATCATTCATTATTCATTGTTTTCGTGTGAACAATTCTTCTTATTTTCTGCTTTACGCTTCGAGCGAGTGGTTTTTGCTCATTTGGAATGTGTGTGTGCGGTGGTTGGATAAAAAGTGTCAAACAAACGATGTCTCATGACCAATAAGCATATGTACGTGCTTGAATTTGTAAGTGCTTGCGCGTAACGAGAGAGAGATATAGAATATCAGTTTATGCGCTGCATCTCCAGGAATCGGAAGGTGGAAGTCATGCCGTTTCGTTTCATTGATGCACAAAATTCTTGTAATTAAAACTCCAAATAGCTAGTGCTTGATGTAAGCGAATGAGCACGTGTGTGCTCTAATATAAAATGCAAGAAATAAGGGAATAACGAACAAATAAGTTCTCAAAGCGAGGCTTTTATCTCTGCTTTGGTCGTAATTTCGTTGTGCCATTGCCTCATTTTGCATACCAAAACATCCCATTTCCACCCATCTCGACTCGCGAAAATCCTATTTGAAGGCGTATGAAAATGTGTGTTTTCAAGCTTCTCTGTGGCGAACGGGGATATCAATGTGCCATTTAAAAAGCGTACGCTACAAGCGTGCTCTTCTTCGTTTTTATTGCAATTTTCGGTGAATGCGGCCAAACGCATTTACTGACATTGATTCCACGGCCAAGTTGCCATTTGACGGTGGTGCCATAAAGCAAAAGAAGAAGAACGAACAAAAAAAAATAATTGGTATAAATTATAGTGACTTTCGTACTGCATACTTTTATTACAATGTTATCCCGCCCGTTCTCGTTTCTCGCCCGCAAACTTTTATTGCAATGGTTTTTGAAAACGAGTGCGGCTATTGTTTTTTCTCTCTATCTATCTCTCTTTCTACCCAAACCACAAGTCGCTTATTACATGGGATTTGTGTGTATGTGTACTAAATAAATTGACGAAAAATGTGGTAAATTTTCTACAACAATAAAAACACATCTTCACCAATTGATTGATGATGGGTAGCGTTTACTCACGCTGAATTCTCGCTGTTGGAAAGAGAGACACATACAGAGAGAATGAAAATGGTACACATTTGTATGCATGTGAGAAATAGAATCGAGGCGACAACGACGCTTTCCAACGTCAGAATAAAATTTGAGCAATTTTTGCACATTTTGCAATTTCGAAAATGCTTCAAAATTGAACATATCCAGAGTATGTGCGGCTGCTGGGAGAGGAAAAATCGAGAGAGAGAAAAAGTCCAAGTTGTGTCTTGTTTAGATAAATATCACAAAATTGAAAAAAGCTCTTTTATTTTTTTCACTCTCTCTCTCTCTCTCTCTCTCTCTCTCTCTCTCTCTCTGTCCTTCTGTTTCTTTCTGACTCTCTGTGTCTCACTCCAGGATTTGAACGAAACGAAAAGAGTGCTCTGAATAATACGACAGAAAATAAAACCGAAGAATTGAATGCGCTGTGCGAGTGAGATGAGATTTATGAGTACCACGTTGCGTGCCTGCAATCTCCAATTGGAATGATGGTTCCCGAAAAAATGCTTCCCATAAGCAGCAGTAGTAGCAGCAGCAGCAGCGGCATGGCTTTTGTGCATTGAGATTACACAAAAAACAAACAGTAAAATGAAATTCAAATGTCATAGCTCAAGCTAAGATTCTTAACAGCTTTCCTATTTCGGAATACGAAATTTATTCGAAAATGAAATGTGCAAAATTCAAGCAGCGGTGTTTGTAAGGTTCACGTTCGTCATTTTCTTCACAATCAAGCCGCACTCACTTGAGGTGAGTGCAAGCGATGAGAGAAGTCGCTCTTGCATTGAAATAATATTGAGAGAAGAAAAAAAAACCTGGTCGAGTAAGTAGCTGAATCACTTGACAAATGTAAAAGTTCAAAAAAAATAATTGATTATTTCATGGAAAACCGCTCATGCAAATGTTCAATAGTCGATTGTCCCTTTATTTCAAACACATTCTCATGGGAGATGCGTTTCAAACGGGACATGGGTCCATTTTGAAACGTGATTGGACCTTTTTTTTCTAAAAGAATGAAAGGAGAGAACAAAAAGTCTCGTTCATCTTCGAGATAGCTAGAAAAGAAATTGAACTATTGATGTGAAAAGATCATAGCCAACCGTATTCGTCTTATCGATGAAAGACAGATTAACGTGTGTGTGTGTGTGTGAGTGTGTGTGCATTTCTTCTTCGATGTAGAACTAAAAAGGCTTCTTTTTGAAAAATGATGAACATGTTACAGTGAGAGTGAAGAAAAAAAATCCATTTCGCAAAGTAACCAGAAGCTTTCATCGTTTCACCGTTATGCACCATTTTTCCACGGCGAAGCTAAAACTCATTGGCTCATACACAAACACACATTTTGCCCATGATACACCAATAAATTGATAATAGAGAACTGTCAAATTCTTAACAATAAAATGGAAAATACGACATCACCAATCACCATTAGTGGCTACGTGTGCAACGTATTACAACTCGGAAAAAAAAGAGTCGATAAATAGTTTTATGCTTTATGTATGTGTAAGTGTGTGTTTGTATGTTTTGGTGTTCACTTTTGCTCCAGCTATGTTGTTACTTGCATAAAATGAACACATGTTTTCGGCTCGTTATCAACATCCCGCCGTCACTTTGCTCCATATGTCGATACTAATTTTGCATTTTTATTGTTGGCGTACGTGCCATCGCTTTGGCTCATTTGCCTGTATGTGTGTTTGTGTGCTTTTGCCTGATGATGGAATCGTGTTATAAACACTTGCCAAAGAATGTGCGAAGGTGGTGGCAGTGACGGTGCGAGGTGGTGGTATGGAGAGAAAGGATACAACATCCGTATGTCATTTGAATGCAATAGATGCACTTTCGCCAAACTCAATTTTCATCATGCCTCTCATGCACAATCACAACACATTCGACATGTGTTTTTCCTCGTGTTACC